TATTGGCTCCATGCTGAGCAGCGCCAACTACTGCTGTTCTGGTGCTCTCAGGGCAATATGTGAGGCTTTGTCTAAATAGTGTTAAACTTTTGTCCTTGCGTGGGTCATCATAATGTGAGTTGCTCTGAGTCATAATGAAGTGATGCGCCAATTATTTTATTATTATTGCCAATTGATAACTGAAGTGCTGTGAGTTATCCGATAGCTGTTAGAGTAGTTATTTCATATAATTGTAATAATATGAGGCGTGCTTACTAGTCTCAGGCAAGAATGAACATTTTTATGTTGTTCCAAACGGATTGGAGGAATTGATGCTTCATGATCCCATTGTATATGTGGAATAGTAATGAGATACATGTTTTGTTAATGAATGTGTTGATAATGTTTTGTTAATGAATGTGTTGATAATGTTTTGTTAATGAATGTGTTGTTAATGTTTTGTTAATGAATGTGATGCTAATGTGTTGATAATGAATGTGCTGCTAATATGTTGCTAATGTTTTGTTAATGAATGTGTTGTGAATGTTTTGTTAATAAATGTGTTGCTAATGTTTTGAAAATGATTGTGTTGCTAACGTTTTGTTAATAAATGTGTTGCTAATGTTTTGTTATTGAATGTGTTGTGAATGTTTTGTTAATGAATGTTTTGCGAATGTTTTGAAAATGATTGTGTTGCTAACGTTTTGTTAATGAAAGTGTTGCTAATTTTTTGTTAATAAATGTGTTGCTAATGTTTTGAAAATGATTGTGTTGCTAATGTTTTGTTAATAAATGTGTTGCTAATGTTTTGTTAATAAATGTGTTGCTAATATGGTGATAATGACTGTGTTGCAAATATTTTGTTTAGAAATGCATCGATACAGAGATTAGCTCGCGTGCTACAATCTTATTTGCTGCGGCGTTTAAAATCAAAGGAAGATTTTTCTTGCTTTGGTTCGCCGGCTTCAATACGAAACTTCGGAAACTGCCGTTAAAATTTTCCCCCGACTTCTACACCTGAACTTGTTCCATAACATTGGCTGAAGTTGGTGGAGTTCGTAACTTTGTACGGATCAACTCGGCATTTGCTTAAGTTTAGATTTCTGCCAATCGTGTTGAAAATCATACAAGAGCGAAGCAAATCGTGAAAACTACAAGAAGTGCGAATAATAAATTTGCAAATAAATACCGTGAACGTTAATTTATGTTGTTGGGTATTTAGCTCGAGTGACCTTAATTTCAATTTCGTAGAATTAGTTCTTTAGTGGAAGATTTCTTCGACTAAATGAATTTTCTAAATGAGGGATGAAACTCAAATTTTTCGAATAAAATCTTGGAAATAATAAATCTTAGATGGCAGGGAATGTATCATGTCTTCACACGATCACACTTCATGTGATGTTTTACCTTAGCATCAGCATAGCAATCCAGTTGAATTGCAGGAAATGCATCCCGTTTTTGTAAAATAACATTGCAGGGAATGCACCATGTCTTCACATGATCGACCACATTGCGTGGAATGCACCATGTCTTCACATGATCGACCACATTGCGTGGAATGCACCATGTCTTCACATGAACACATTGCACGGAATGCGCCATGTCTTCACATGAACACATTGCACGGAATGCACCATGTCTTCACATGACCACATTGCACGGAATGCACCATGTCTTCACATGACCACATAGGTCATCACATGAACACATTGCATGGAATGCACCATGTCTTCACACGACCACATTGCATGGAATGTACCATGTCTTCACATGAGCACATAGGTCATCTCATGACACATGGCATGCGCTGCCTCACGCCAGTATCAGCATGCCAATCAATCGGCGCCGGTTGAGCAGCTGAGTTGTGTAGCTATAATGCCGCTGTCGTGCTGGTCTGTAATCAGCCTAAGCTGTTGGGGCGGCAACCATTCAGACCAGTTGGTCTATTAGCTACTGACCAACACTCAGAGAAATGAGCGAGACCTGTCCGAATAGCGATGCACTTTCTGCCCTCGTGTGGGTAACCATGAACTTATTTAGTGAATGTCAATGCCATGACCATATTTGGCACCGGTCAGGTCTACGCTCGTGCTGGGGGCAAGAATGTGGGTCTCAATTAGGACAATATAACCTATCCATTTTCTAAGTGAAGGAAGCTATCGAGCCGCGTTTGTCGCTCAGCTCTGTGATCTGGCTGATTAATTATCTTCTTGATTTATTGTTGCTATCACTATGAGGGCGGGCGATGTGAGGAGCCCAATGCTTTCACTTTAGTCCCGGTCGATGTTGTGAAATTTAACTAAGTCAATGGTTTCGCGTTTTCTCAGGTTTAGAAATACTTGACCAAATAGTTTTGTCGGATTTCCTTTGCGTTCACGGTCGTACATTTAACGTTCTTCTATGTGGAATTATTTTCTTGATTTGGGTTTTCTATGCCTTTTTTTTACGACTTTTATGATGATTATTATTGCACTCTGAAATATATTAGACGCCTATTTATTATCTACGGAAACAGTTATTTCTTTAGTAAAGAACGTGATATGTTATTGGCCAAACCAAGATAAAAATCCAAGAAATGATATCAGAACGTTCATTATTTATAATCTTATCGTAAGATTAATCGTTGCTGCTTTCATTTATTGTTTTGCCCTCAACGTCGCGTTGTTTCAACGTATCAAAAAGTGAACTATGCAATGCACGCCTTAATTCCATCTAAGGAAACCATCGAGCCGATATGAAGGGCAATCGTCATCCAGTCTTATATCTCAAACCTCGATTGGGACATTTTAAAACTATTAAACTATTTTTTAAGATGAAATGCACGTGGATTGAATATTCATCAACCGCTAGCCTGCCGCTCCTAATAAATTGCCTCAAATATCCGGCGCTGTGAAGAGACCACAGGATGTTTTTTTTTTGTATGAATGCAAAATTGGAATTATTCTTCGATAAATTAGATAAATTAGTCACAAGTTTGTTTGTGAATCTTGAAATAAGATTATGAGAAGTCATTTTCATACACTTGTAAAAATATTCAATTTAAAGTTTATTGCAAATATATTATTGCACTGCAAAATTAGAATTGTTCTCTTTAATCTTATTATGACGAGTTTATTTGTGAATCTTGAAATTAGATTAAGAGAAGTAATTTTCATACACTTTAGCAATGAATAGACTCTATTTATAAATAGTCTCGTATAATGTGGTGGAATGGATAATATTCATTAAATCGATTTTTTTCTACCAGAATAGAATGTTTGTTCTTTCGAGTGGAGTTTTTAATTGCATTGAAGAATAATTTCCATAAAGCATTTTGATTACCAACAAAACATGTATTCAAATTTGCGGATGAGAATTGGATGGAATATCACGAAAACGATTGTGGGCTTTTTGATTGGGATATGTAATCTATATTTATTTCAAGTTATACTATGGTATCATCTATGTTGAAATATGGATAAAAAGCTCGAAAGGAGTTTATGAAGCATCTGTATAAAAATAAAATAGGAAAAGATAAAAAATATAATAAAACAGACGAATTATTGCGCAGCGCTTGTGTTGTTCGCCGCTCGCTGGGCTCGTGTTCTGTAGCCGTTGATTTATAGGCCTGGAAATTGAATCGCTAGGCAGGCAAAAGCAACGGCTCGCTGGTGGCCATGACAATGCCATATTGGCATCATGGCACTGCATGCCTGGCTCTCTACACGCTGCAGTGCAATAATGGTGCCATTGCAGTGCCATATTGGTGCCACTGCATTGAAATATCGGTGCCAAAGCAGTGTCATTTTAGTGTTACTGCAATGCCATATATGTGCCACTGCAGTGCCGTATTGGTGTCACTGCAGTGGCAAATCAGTGCCACGGCTGTGCGATGACGGTGGGGCAGTGGCAGTGCATTGCATATTACTGCATCATGATGTACACTTGATTATTTGACCATGATGTTGCCTCGGCAGTGCAGTGATGATACACTGCATTTCACTGCACCATGAAGCCACCTTTGCTGTATAGTGACGGAATAGTGTCACCAATACTCAGTAGTGATGTCGGTGCACGAAAACTACATCAATGGTGATACTGACAATAGACATAAGTTGTAGTTCATGTAAATTAGATTAAGTTTTAGTTCATGCAACAAATATAACTTAGGACTGCGTCGCTTCAAACTATAGTGGCAGTTTAGCAGGAGTTCTTCGCTCTGTAAAGTGCTTTGCCGTGTTACTGATGAATGCTGGGACGGCGGTGTTGGACGAGTTCGTGACACGTTATGATATACATTACGAAATAAGTTAAGATTTGCGTTACGACGATGTAACGATGTACGGTTTGCGAAAACGCGTTGTAATTGTATAAGATATAGGTTATTTTTACTTAATTTCTAGTGTAAATATTTCAGTTATAAGAAGAAAAAAAATACAGAGAAAAGCGTGCGCCAGCAGAGATATTGTAATATAAAATAAATGGAAGTATACGATAATTGAGTCTGAATTTATATGGCGCAGCTGAGGAATGAGATATACTAATAGGCCTATGGAAAGTGGAAGCGCAGCCGACGATGTGATATTCCGGAATTCTTAAATATTCCCTCGTATTTTACCTGAGAGCTGTAATTACTGGTTTGAGTTACTGTAATTTATTTTACTCTACGCGACCTCCCAAAACTGCCGTCAAACAAGACGTTATTGCACGCACTCAGAGACATGAGAGAGTTGTCCCAATAGCGATGAAGTGTGTCACTATTTGGACAATTTGACCCAATCATTTTTCTTAGGGCGGATTGCGAAGGCGAATAGGTTCGTGATGCTCGTGACAAGCAAATGACGTTAAAAAAACCTTGTTTACGTGTTTATTTCACTGAAACAACCTTTAATCAATGTTAATGCAACGCAGAATGCCTGGTAATGAAAATATTAAAGAATAATAAGCTAGAACAACAACTTGAACAACAGGGCATGCTTGCCCGACAGTGGGGGGCAACAGTCCCCTTGGGCGACTGGAAGCCTCCAGTCGGTCGTGCGCCGCGGTGCGCGATGGAGGTCGAGTTGTCGTGCGCGCTGTGCTGTCAGCTGCTGACAGAACCGCTGCTCCTGCCGTGCTGCAGTCGTGCCGTGTGTGCCTCTTGCGCCAAGTCCCCCCCGCCTCCTCAGCCCAAGACAGACGGTGACGACAGTGATAAGGCCTCCGTCTACAGCGAGACAGACAGCGGCGTCATCGTCGCAACTTCGTCCACATCGAGACTTACGTCTCACGGGGTGCCGGTCCCGCCTCCCGTCATTCCGCCATCCGTCGTTTCGGATCCCGACGCTGATGGGTCCACTAAAGTCGCCAGCTGCGTGAGGTGTCCGGCATGTAACAAGGACCTTGCGGGTCCAACCCCCTTTGGACCCGCGTTGGTGACGGGCCCAGGGCTAAGTGGGTTAGTCCCGTACCCAGCCATGGCTCGCATAGTGGCACGCTACAAGGGTGAAGTGGGCAGTGGCAGCACCGGAGTGCCACTACCTCCATGCCAGTTGTGTGAAGGTCCCCCTGGTGACGCTACAGTGCACTGTGAACAGTGCCAAGTGCAGTACTGTGCACCATGCCTGGCGTCGTGTCACCCCTCACGAGGGCCGCTGTCCACACATACCCTCACACAAGTAGCCCCTCTGTCCTCTATACCCACGGGTAGTGCTGCGGTCTGTGGTCCTCATGGGGACATAGGTAATGTGTATTGTACAGTGTGTAGATGTGTGGTGTGTAGTGCTTGTCAGGCTGGAATACATTCTCTGCACGACCTTCAACCGCTGGATCAGCTTGCCAAGGCGTACAAGGTAATTCAATGTCATCTTAATGATTTAATTATCATGTGCTACAATCATATGTTTTAATTATATAATTATAATAAAGTACGTCAGAATTGTTAATAGATTTTCTATTTAGCAATATTTACCTTGGACGACAATTTTTTGTAATAATTGATCTACAATAATTTTTTACTCAAATTGCAGCATTGCAGCATATGATGCACTACGGAATTGCCGATGAATGTAGTTTCTTAAACTCGTTTACTTTAAAAATAATATTTTAATTGTGGTTTAATTAGCCTTTTCTTATTTTATAGCTTGCAGAATAACATAAATTTTCACCATGTGAAGTCTCCTAAAATTTTAAATCCCACTGATAAAATGTCATTTCTTCATTCAAATTTTTTTGCAAGTATTTTCGTTGTCAAAAGAATTGTAAATCTAGCTATTAACTACATGCTCGTTCAAACAGACCAACTATAATAAAATCCGTACAAATCAAGCTCCATTCATTTTTCTATAATGATACTCGAACACCCACACTGTATTTCAGCATGAAACACTTCAGAATTTTTGGCTTGAATCGCGTTTCTCAACCTCGGTAGCAGCTAACGACCTGTGGCTCTTGATGCTGCAGCCTTCAAAAGCCTGCTGCACTCAGAGCACTGAGTGATACTTTGTCTAAATAGTGGTGCAATGTCGACCCATGTGTGGGTCATCCTGACCCAGTTTGGCCTAGTAAGATGGGGTATCAGTGCTTCGTTCAAAAAGTGTGCCACTATTTGGACAATATGGCCCATTCATTTTTCTGGGTGTGGCCTCTACAAAGCGCAACTGGGTCTCGAGAAATTCTACTTTAGAAGAGAATGGCTGAATTATTTTGGCATTGACGAGTATTTTTTGGAGATTTGAGAGGTTGTCGGTTTATTGAAGGGCTCATTAAGAGATGATTTAGCCACGAGAAAAAGTCGTAGGCTCCATATTTTTGAAAAAGTGAAGTGGGTCATAAAAGAGATCACCTTTTTTACCTTCCTGGAACGGAAAAATTGCGACTCGAAGTGACGGTATTCGCTTAGAAGGATCATGTGTTCTCAATGAATACATTCCTTCTATGAGCTATGTTAGTGAATAATGTTTCGTCAAGTTTTCTTGTTGACAGATTTAAAATTTTTTGAATGTTTTTGTGAGTAAACATAAATGATTCGATGTATTTTTCTTCATTTAGATCATTTACGAGTTTGGGATGGATCACGATGGAAATAAATTAGAAATAGGTTATTCTGCAAATACAGGAAGAATTCTGCAAATTCTCCCTGCATTCAGGTAGTTGATTTTTGTTAACCTTCAATTAATGATTGAGATGAATTTATTATCGTTATGGCGCGTACATTTTCTCTATACCGGTAAAAAGGAGGCAGAATGTCAACCTGGTAAATTGACAGTTGTGTCATTCACCGTTACTGAAATAATGTAATCAAAATCTCCTATAAAAAAATATTAATGTTGATTTTAAAGTTAATTTTACATTTTTCTTAATTTCTGCTCATATTCCGCTCCACGTTTCTTGATACGAAAGTTTGTGCCGAAAAAGATACGGGATAAATTGGATAAAACTTTTACTATCGTGGTCGTGTTCCAGGTTGATCACGGTTCCATAAATAACCAGCAGTTTCTTCACTGAGATAAGATTTGTTGAGATAAGATTTCTTATAATATAATTAATATAATTACATAATATAATAACGTAATATAATAACATAATATATTAATATAATATAGAGGTATTGGCTTTAAATAATACATATTAGCCTGTCACTGATTCACAACCAAGGCGCCACCTTGCTGATTTCGAACAGAATTTTTCGCAGCTCGCTGCGGCTTTCGAACCCACAACTCTTTGCTCTCTTTGTGTCCAACCATCCCGGTGCTGCTTAGACACCATAAGAAACGAACAAATGAGATAGAAATGTAAACAATTGACGTATAAATAACTATGGAAAATGACTTTTGACAATAAATGTAGAAAATGTATAACAATGCGTGGAGGCTTCATGATCGATGCACTATAGCTACGTGAACTAAATATTAAAGGACTAGAAACAGTATTCTGATAAATCCATTGGTCGATGTAATTAATGGTCAAATGTAGTATACAGAAAGTAATTGAATAAGTTTTACAACAACGTTAATAATGTTCTTTGGATGAGATATTTGTGGAGAATTGGACTTTGCGTTTCAGTATATTATTTTTATTTATAATATCTTACTTCTGATCGAACCTAATATTTTTTTATTATCCAATAAAAAAAACGATAGCCCACGCACGTGTTTGCCTGGAAAGTCGCGCTTTGTGTTTGTTTGGGATTTGACAGTTAAAGCGCCGAGTGTAGTCGAGTGTGAAAATCAGTCACATCAGGGCCTTTTATTCCAATTTGCCTGACTTGCTGGCTGACTGGCCTGCTGACTACTAACTGGCTTGCTGACTGGTTTACTAGGAGGCTTACTGACTGACTTACTAATGGGCTTTCTGACTGGTTTTCTAACTGGCTCACTGACTGTCTTACTAACTGGCATGCTGACTGGCTTACTGACTTACTGACTGACTTACTAGCTGGCTTGCTGAGTGACTTCCTAACTGGCTTGCTGACTGGTTCACTGACCGGATTTTGCCAGTTATTAACTTGTAGTGCCAAGAGTCAGATTTCTATGTCCGAAGCCGCAGATCGCGTTACAAAGAAGCAAAGCTCAGGACGAGGCTGCGTGTCGTTGCGTTCTTGGCTGACATCCATCAAGCGGTGGCATCAAAGCCACGACGCGCTCATCCAATATTCATCCAAGCACCGCTCGCCGCACGCAGCCTTCAGCCTCATGCCATCAGGTTCACGACACGACAGTGACACGGTCGCTTGTGACCTCACGACCTCCTGCCATCAAACCCCTCCTCACGACACGACAGTGACGCGGTCGCTGTGACCTCACGGCCTCATGCCATCAGACCCCTCCTCACGACACGACAGAGGCGCTGTGACCTCTCGACCTCATGCCATCTGGCCTACACTCATGACACGACAGAGGCCCTGTGACCTCACGACCTCATGCCATCAAACCCCTCCTCACGACACGACAGGGATGCGGTCGCTTGCAATTGCCACATCACATAACAACGGCTCTCGTTGTTCTTGGTGAACAATTTTGTTAAGAGTTTCGGGTGCACTCAAGCGCTCCGCTTGTTGTGGTCGGTAGAATATACGTCTCCCAATCCTCCTCTTCCTGACACTAGAGACTCAAGTTTCTAAAGTTCCGTACCAGCGATGGGAAGAACTGGAAGATGGTTTGATGTGTGCATTCGGTCTTCTTGATGTTTTCATTCAATGAACAATGAAAATGATTTTACTGGTACTCAAGTAGACCAATTATGAAAATAATTTTGATTTTTATTTTTTTTTGTGCGGGATTAAAATGAACTCCCGATCATGAATTTCCACAGTTCATATTGACGTATATTCATTATTCCATTTATTTTAAACTGATCCATTCCTTTCATTTGTTTCACGGAAGACAATACGAATCTACTATGATAACAGTCACAATGATGTAAACCTACCCGAAAACTCACATGAAAGATCAAACGAATGTCTTCACGTGAATAGAACACTGCGCGCAGACTTCAGAAGTGAACTTCTTCTTACTTCAAATGCTTTTACTTTATGCCTGAATTTAAGTGCAGTTCATGTCAGTTCCTGGGCCAGCTTGAGACATAAACAGCCGTGAAGACTTATTCACTTGAGTCTCGCAGGGTTCACAATGCACTGAAGCACTTATGAAGCTGTCGTGATAGTGAGCTCGCTTTTGATGGTCAAATATTAATGCATGTCTGTTGGTCTGCATCACGCATGTCTGCATCACGCGACTCGTGTTAATGGAAGAAATTGATGAAAAATGTAAAAAAGTTGGCTGTGTCATGAATGGACAGTCGCGTTGACAATATTTTGATCTCAAAATCAGTGATATCCTAGTAGTAATTATTATTATTAGTTATTGATGGAAGATATTCATTTATTCCAGCAGGTTATCGGTTGCAGGTCTATATTTTATTTTGGATAAATCTCGGTAAATGTAATTGAATTTTTGCTAGTCTCTTAGTGAAGCCATATCTGAAGCTTCAGCAGTCTCTGATAAGCAGGAGAATATTAATTTTAGGTGGTATGCATATACAACAGTTTTTTGTTGAGTCAATTGCAGAAATAGTTGAGCGCCCGCAGAACAATGCAAGTGAAGGCCTCTGCTTGGTGTTCAGTTGCCATCCAATACAATAGAAGTCCATGCAATCACCGCGACAGACTGACTGAGCTTTGCATCCAATCGTCCCTTGATCGAGTTTAAATTGCCTGCTGCTTAGATCAAATACCTTTGTGTTGTGGCTGAGGAAATATCAGTATTTTGCAACCTGAAAACATATCGAAAATGGTTTCGGTTGGAAGTAGGCTTAATGAAGCTGAGTTTACATGAATTATAGACTTGATGCATAATATGTACATTATTTTTATTTAAGCTGGTTAGCTAGTTATTATAGACTCGGTTGATGCATATTATTGAAAGCGTTTCTAATGAAAATGAGTTGTTGAAAATTATAGACTCGTTTGATTCACATTATTTGAATTACTTTTTCATTAGGCTGAGTTGTTGGAAAGTTTAGACTCAATTGATTCATATTATTTGTGATTATTCTATATAATTTCACAAGAGAATAATCGGCCAATATTGCAATAATACTGGCCCATTATTGGTCGCTGCAAACTTGTTTGTTTGAAAAGTTGCGTGCAAGGAACGAGGGTAGCGAGTATCCGTGACTGTCTGGGCTGGAAGTTTTTTAATTATATCAGACAATATTTGAAGCTCGACGTGGAATTTCATTTTCTTATCCTGAGAAGAATTCAGCAAGTACAAAATAATGTCTCTCTTGGGAGACGCTCTGAGCCCAGGGTGGTTGGATCGTTAAAGCCATCAAGTCCTGAATTACAAGAGAT